CTTCGCTGTTACAGCCATCTTCAGTACAGTGAGTTGACACATGGCCAAGGGGTATCACAGAATTTGATGTTGACGGACCTCGTCCACGAGGTCGCCTACTTAAGTCATGGCGAGATGTTGTGAAGAGGGACCTCTGCAGGTTAAACCTCAGTCCAGAGGCTGCTGCATGATCGCCCCACCTGGTCTCGCAGGATACATCCACCTTACAGCTAACTCTACAGCCTCTTAACAGCCAACTCTCAATTGCGTGGAAAACAGACTTAAAAAGCCCGTTAAAAAGAAGATGATTATGTCCATAGCATCAAACTAAGAATATATGGGCACCAACTTGGAGTTGTTAACAATTAGTTAACTAATTTGCAGTTGTTAAACTAAACACTCAAGTGGATGCTGAAATGGAAGAGTTGTATTAATGGGCAATTAGAAAACTGTTCAGACTTTAGAAACTTGGAGAGGTCGGTCTGAACATAAAACGTGCCACTGTGTACAAGAGATCGTTAAGGCATATCCGAAAAACCAGTAGGCCTACTCCTGTTCGAATATGTACCTCACGGTTAGCCCATTGAATTTCTATGAAAAAATAAAAAAACAAGATGCAGATGTATCCAATGAAATGTCTATTATCCTGGGCTTAAAAAATTAAAAACATAAGCAATTTAAAAAAAAAAAAGATCATGTAAAGGTAATGATAACTAATAAAACGTTGTTAGTGACGTTTAACTCGGGTAACAATACAATGTGAATTTAACGTTTACAAGTGCGAAGAGCATTCTACTCACATTACTCACCTTTTAAACAATTAAGCCTATGACACATTAACATGAGAAAATTATGATTTAAAAGCGCTCACTTTGCTTAAAGTTAAACTTTTTTTTATAACAAACCTTTTATGGATTTGAAAGATTTAGTCTGATGTTTTAATGTTTTAATCGTGTAATTGAATGTCCAATTCGGTTTAACCGTTCTTGTAACTCTGATGGCGTTGATGAATTATTTTTTCCATATCTAGGTCTACTTGTAAACGACAATGACATCAATAAAAAAATGTCAATAAATACAAAGGCACGAATCTTCAACGTTCACATCAAAAGCATATTAAGTACTCAACAATGATATTAATCAGGCCTATTTCTAAATGCTGAAAACCAAAACACAGCAAGATAAAATAAATGGCTATCAAGATTTTCTCTTTTGCATGGCTGCCTGAAAGCATTATATTTCTTGACCGGTGGGGGTGGGGGAACATCGATGTACGTAATTATAATTTTCATTCTACAGTATTAATAATGTAATTACTTAATTCTATTAATAGGCCTATTATGATTATTTAATTCTATTACTATTTTATAATTGTTTAATTATGTCAATATATAGGCCTACATATCGATTTGAAGTACAAACATCATCCGGACACAACTTAAAAAAAACAAAAAAACAAAAAAAAAACACCTAAAACAACCAAGCAACCGTGTTCCCGATAGAGAGACTTTGGACAGCTGATAAAATGACTTGATTAAAGTGCTAAAATACCTCATTAACGAAGTCATTTAGCCAAGTTATCTAGTGCCTACTAATAAATACGTCATCAAGTGAGTACTAACGCAATTCATTAACATCTAAATGGTAATCTAGGTAGGGTTAGTGTCCAGCATTTGCAAACATTTAACATTCATTTTATGACAAATTCAGCTGTTAAAATTGTGCACAACAGTAACTAAAGGCGAACACCTGCTTGGAAAAAACAAATAGAGTAAATTTTGAGTTGTGTCCATATCGAAGAATTTTTTCTCCGGAACTATTTCTAAGCTAAAGATAAATCATCACTGTTATTTACGAAACTATATGAAAGGAATCTTTAAGAATGGAAGAAAAATTGTCCCAACTCAAATACAAACCCGTCGTCACCAATTTATAAATGGGCTTCGTTGTATTCAATCCCGGCGGGTTGTGAACGGTTTTGCCTGCTCGGTCACTGGGTTCGTTGTCAACTCAAATTCACACCCGAAGGGTCGTGAACAGCTTTGTTTACTGGGTCAGTGGGCTTCGTTGTGAATTCGAATTCAAATTCAAACCCGGCGGGTCGTGAACGGCTTTGCCTACTGGGTCACTGGGCTCGTTGTCAACTCAAATTCAAACTCGGCGGGTCGTGAACGGCTTTGCCTACTCGGTCACTGGGTTCGTTATCAACTCAAATTCAAACCCGGCGGGTCGTAAACGGTTTTGTCTACTGGTCACTGGGTTCGTTATCAACTCAAATTCAAACCCGGCGGGTCGTGAACGGCTTTGCTTACTCTGGGTCACTGGGTTCGTTGTCAATTCAAATTGTAGAAAATTTAATTCACACTTCTCATGTAAGCTACGTGAACAGAAGTACTAAACCTCCTGATATATCAATAAGGTTGATTTGGAAAAAAATAACACCTGGCTTCCGACATTCCATATGGTATTCCTCGAGGATCAATAGTTTATGTTCCACCTAGGATGTGCCTAGGGTCTTTGTCTCCGGTACTGGTGAAACCCCCTTCTAAAGTAATTATGGAGGTACTCTTGAAGCGGTCAGAAGATGCCAGCATTGAGGTATTTTAAATGAATTACATTAATTTATAAGGAACTTTATTGTCAAATATATATTGATGGGATGTAACAGCATAATGGATTACAAAATACAATATTGTACAGTAGATTTATTGTGAAACAAAACATTGTTTCTGACTGGTTTTCGTTGGTGTTGATAGAATTTCTGAATAGGATGATGGATCAATTGACCAGAAAATGTGTTTATTTTTGTTTATTAGTTTTTTTAGTGTACTCAGTGGTTGGACATAAATTGTTTTCAATTCAATAATTAAGTTTTATACAACTTTATCTCAGCGGCTTTTTCATGAGTTTTCTATTTGTTTGCAAGATTTTGATTGTAAAAAAGTGATTTCTTTTTATATTTTTGTTTTTGTAGTTTTAATGTATCAAACCTGCGTCATGCAATGACACTCTGAAATAAATCGGTTATTTTGTGTGTGTATGAGATATAGATCAAACGTTATACCGAAAAACAATTTTCATTGCAAATCCAATATTGCCGCCAATATAGCCGCCAAATGTATTGCAAAGTCAGTGTTTTGTATTGGGAACATTAACACTTGTTACTAAATACATGCAGAGGTTTATTTTATTTCATATCAAAAATATACAAATTAATAATTTTCATTGGAAATCCAAGATGACCACCAAACGACCCCATGGCAACATCAAAATTCGTTAATAAGATACTTTGAGGATTACAAAAGTTTAAACAAAATATAGCCTGGGGGTGCATGAGAACCCTTTCTTCGTACTAGACTTAAATTATGTTAGTGAAACATTAAAAAAAGTAATCGAATTGAATGTTTTAGTTCTCCTTAAGGCAGAGGCTTAATATCCGTATCAATAAAAACAATTTGATACTGTTCGAAAGGCAATTTAACCAGACACAATCTAACAATGTCTTAATTCCAAACTTATTTTAAAAGGGGTTTTTCTCGTTAGTTCATAAATTGATATGAAGTTTACGACTTCGGAACTGCGAATTAGACAAATCTTATGTTGCTATTTTAATAAGCACGGCAGAGGGAAGCTTAGCAGCACTAAACTAATTATTTCGATTACAATACACGATTTGCGAGCAACGATAGTAGAATCGTCGATGAAACGCGGTAGCAAAAGTTCTAATAGCAGGAAATGCAATTAGAGAGAAGAGAACAGTTCAAGTTGAGTAGAGCAGAGTTCATGTCTTCTCTTGATTTGCGATAAGAAACTTCCAATTTTTAGACCCAGGAATTCGTTTCTGCGAATCATTAAATTGTTTTGACTCCACGTATAACGTCCAAGACAATGTTAAAGATTAGGTGAAGAAAGCAATAGTGTTAAAAGATTTGAAATAGGCTATGATTGGTGTGAAGGAGATAGAGATTGGAGTCCACCTTCCTAGGAGCATTAAGTTGATTTCAATTACTTAAATCTGATTTACTTCAAGATTGAAGCGAACGTTTGAACATGTCTTGAGAATCCATGCATTATTGCTATCTCTTTGATTAATAATTGTGTTAATGTTTAGGTAAAAGAAAAACATAAATATCCCTGTTGAACATAAAGATAATATTATCAATATTGCAATAATTTTAATACAAAATTATAAAAATGAAATTTGAGAATCGGCCGCCATAAAGCTCTTTGTTTAAATATGTATATCTTAAACATTATCAGAAACGAAACATTTGTCAATATAGGCCACCATAAATCAGAATAGAGAATAATTTTTTTTTCTTATTTCTTTATTGCATCCAACAGCCTAAACCACCAAGTTACTGTTAAAATAAAGATCTTCTTAGACCCACATAACAGTATATGGATTTACCCTATAAAATGACATGTTTCTTTCAAGGGGCGGAATAGGATTAATATAGTTACCGGTCCTGTAACTAAACAAGGGGCACTACTTCGGTCATGGGGCGCTCACGTTTCATCATTATTGGTAAAAAACGGCGCCTTTTTTGAGACTTGATGGATACACATCCTGAAAAGTGCTGCATCAATTACAGTTTAATTAAATAAATCAATATAACTAATACTGAACAATATGTGAAAGCATACATATCATTACGAGTCTCCATTTAATATATACTGTGTA